ACATACAGATAGTCAGTATGATTTAGATTGCAAAGATCAGAAAATACCATAGAGCTGCAGCCCTTTGATTTTAAAATTACTTAGCCTATTCATATAATAAAACAATTACTGACTAGTGAATCGCCTCGGTCAATATGCCATCTGCCGGTGAATATCACATCATATTCAATGGCTCACTAGTCAATAATTGTGTAATAATGCACGAAGAATTAATATCTATTTCCATTCTAACACGTCAAGAAAAAATATAATTATCATTATAAAGTTGGACTCAGAGTTTCCAATAGAAACGTTCTTTAAAGCCTGTTCCAGTGGGTTGAAAAAAACTGTCGTTAAATCTACCGTGTGTAGAAACATTTGAGAATAACGAATTTGAAAACGTTGCTAAAACATTGTTTGTTTATTTTATTTCACCCTATAACTTTTTCAAGCGAAATACAAATTATTAAAAGTGAAAGAAATGTAAAACTTAGCTCGTTTGCGACATTAAATAAACGAGTTTAAACGGCGGGGTCGCGGGACGAAAACACGCTAATTAGCGGATGTGCTGGGCGAAGTTTAATAAATAAATATTCGCCCCGCGGGGGTGCGGGACGAGATTTAAGAAATAAAACGGCGGGGGCGCGGGGCGAAAACTCGCTAATTAGCGCCCTCGCTAATACGCGTGTTTTCGCTCCGCGCCCCTGCCTTTTTAACTTGTTAATTATCGACATTTCGCTTGGCAGGGTCGCAAAACGAAAACACGCAAATTAGAGGGGGCGCGCGGCGAAGTTTTATTTATTAAACTTCGCCCCGCGCCCTCGCTAATTAGCGTGTTTTCGTGCCCGCGACCCACCGTTTTATTTCTTAAATCTCGCACCGCGTCCCCGCCGGACGTAGTTTTATTTATTAAACTTCGCCCCTCGCCCGCGCTAAGTAGCGAGTTTTTGCTCCGCGCCCCGCCCTTTTAACTTGTTAATTTTCGACTTTTCGCTTGGCGGGGTCGCGGGGCGGAAACACGAATGGCACAAATCAGTCACCATTGTAAGGCATTAACTGATGCAAAAAGGGTTTCATGTAGCCGTCACGCAACTTTATTATGATAAATTTTATTTCTAACTCATTTAGATCGAAAAAATACACTGAGATTACACAAACTGCATTTTATTATATAAGACACTTACCACTTAAGCATCTAAAAAATATTTCTATTACTGCTACATCAGACTTTAAATGAATTTAAGTATCGACCGTCATCTTGAACTCCATCCCAAATATTTCAATGTCGCAGATCGAAAATAAGTCAAAACTCACTATTTAAGTAGAACTCAGTTGAGATCTTCAGAACTCTGGAACCCAAAGTGCGTTGATATATGTAGCATATTAACGCACTTTGGGGGTCAATTTCTCGAGTTCGACCTCAAAATGCGTTTGTCCCTAAAGTGCGGTGTTACAGTGGTGATGCCACTACTTCCGCGATTGTGTTTACATGTTCTTTGGGTTTTTCTTTTTTTGGAACTTTAAAGGTTGGAAATGATGTCAGTTTCGTTTAACGCGTCTTTACACTATGTTTGTGTAACGCAAATGACGTCACGTCAAAATATATATACAGCCATGTAATAAATAGTGGATATTGAATGAGTGTAGTTTAATTACTAAATTTACTTGAACGAGATTTGAATAAAATCATATTATGGTCGAAAGCCTCTGGCGAGGCATTATAATAAAATAAAATAAATTTTAAATAAATAAAAGAAAAAAAAATATTTAAAACAGAAAAAAATTAAAATAAACAAATAAATATTAAAAAATAAAAGAAAAAAATATAAAAAAAAAAATAAATTAATAAAAATAAAAAAAAAATTAAAAAATTAAAATATATAAAATACACTATTTTTCTCCTATATTCACCTTTCAAATTGTTATTCTTCTTCTTCATGGTAATTGTTTTATTCAACGAGTTCATTAAATTTAGTATTGAAACTACACGTATATAATTTTCTTTTTATCACATATATAAAATAAGAACAGTTAACTGTTAAAATGAGTAATATTTCAATGACGCGCCCATAGTGTAACGCTAACATAAGCGCTTTAAAGCTATGTTTCTTTTAGCGCAAATGACGTCACGTCTAAGTGTTATTACACTAGTGTAATATAGTTTTTATTAAAATTTAATAGAAGATATTGAATGAGTGTAAGTTCAATACTGAATTTATTGCACAAGTTGAATAAAATCATATTATGCGAGTTGAATAAAATCATATTATGCGAGCGTCTGGCGAGCATAATATTATTTTATTCAACGAGTGCAATAAATTCAGTAATGAACTTACACGAACTTAACTATCTATTTATCACATACCAAAATAAAGACGTTTAAGGGGTGAAATAAGAGTCATATTTCATTACGCGCCTAATAGTATTTACGCTAAACATTTATAGCGCGTTTTTACACTATTTTGGAATGACGACAAAAAAAAGGATTGCGGAGCACCACAATAAATCCGCTATTCCGGTATTATACCGGGCAAGTCGCTGAATCATAAAATGCTTAAAATCTGCTTTTTACCCAACGGAATGAACTTTATAAGATCATAACTTCATTCTTTTCACAACCGATTTATGTATGATAATGAACGAAAAATGTAAAGATCGGCGAAAAAAAAACGATATTTGTCTATTTTGTGATCATAATTTCTGCAAGCGTCTACAGGTACTGCTCCAATCCTGTATTGAGTTAAATCCCTATATTTGTATAACGCTAATGACGTCACGTCAAAATATATGCACGGCCGTGCAATACCATATTTACGGAGTCGCAAAATCGGCACGGGTGTGTGATAATAGTGCAATATGTCATTTGCGCGTGTTAAAACTGTTATTTTTCTACAAAAAATGGGCTTATTGATTACAAACAAAACAAAAAGTTTACGTATTTGGGGTAATTTAGTTTTTTTAATGAAAGTAAAAATTGAAAAATAAAGTAAAAAGAAATCTAACTTATTGCTACTATGAATGATACAAGATGATATTGCCATCTCTTTTTTGCATATACTTTTTAATGTCTGTTATCAATCTGAAAAGACACCGTCAGATTGGGGTAAAGGTGTGTTAAACCCAATACCTAAGCCTGGTGTGACATGTCTACGACAACCATTGAATTATAGAGGGATAAATCTATCATCAACCATGTATAAATTGTATTGTTATGGTGCTGCCATTTGGGGGACTATGAAATTCTCTTGTAAAGAAGCTGTGGAAAATCGCGCTATGAAATTTTTCTTAGGTACAGGAAAATATACTCCGGTATATAGCCGGTGATATGGGTTGGGATCCAGTTTTCGTTAAACAATTGAAAATGATGTTGGTAACGATTTGGTGTAAGATTGTCAAATATGATTCGAAAACAGCAGTAAATTTTCCAAGATATAAACCTTGCAAGGTAAAATTGTAGCAACTGGCATTTTAGGATTTAAAAACCCTCTTTATAAAATTTGGTTTGTGTGGATTTTAGTGACTGTACCGACCACAGAATAAAAATCTTAGTTGTTGATACCAATTGTGAAGAATGCAGTGGATGATTGATAGCTTGAATGGACAAGATCCAGTTCATTGTAATATTTAGTAATCTGGTGATGGTGGGGGGGGGGGGTTATAGAAACAAGTTCAGGTTTATATCAGAAATTTAAGTTTGGATTTTGAACAGGAAGCATTATGTCAACAGAATTATATCTTATCGCCAATAGATCAGCTTTGCTAAATTTATATGTGGTTGCACCATTCAGATTGGAGATTGGCAGATACAGAATGATCAGAATGTTTAACGATTAGGAGATAATGTTCCTATTTTGTAATAATGGCAATCGAAGATGAGTTGCACGGTATTATTGCAATTACCCTAGCTACACTGATATTTGCAAATTAATTATTATTGAAAATGCTGACTGAAAAATTGATACTTAAGTTTTTAATTCTCTATAATGATATTGCCAAAGATTGCTTCCTCTTGTCACATTTGAATGATATTGTCAAATATACTGCAAAATTCCTGACTACGAAATACTTAATGTTAGAAGTGATTTTTTGTACCAATAAATATTATATTTTAATTGCCTTCATTTTAGGTGCGAGGGACGATAACACAATTAATATAATTTTCAAAAAATTGAAGTTTGATGATGTGTGTGTCTTCACCTCCTGCCCTAAAAATGAACATTATAATAACATAAGAACTTTTTATTGTATAATGTATAAAATTGTATTTTCAAACCCAACTAGAAAATTTTATCTTTTCCTGTTGATAATCACACTGACCAGTCCACATCCATGTCTTGACCAGACGTTGATACCATGATTTTGTAAGGACAATTTTTTATTTATGCGCGAATAGTGTCACATTTACAAATTCAGATTTTTATTAACAAATTCCTTATGGCAGATTTCTAAGTTAGAGGTCAAGTGGTTTGTTACCAAACTTTTGATGTTAAGACAAAATATAAAAAGTAAGTATAGATGATGTTTAGTACAATTATATAAAGAGACAACCAATTTTAGGGTTTAGTACCCAGTAAAATTTGGGAAGATTTTTTTCCCAATTTTTTTTTTCTTATTCCATTTTTTTTTTTATATTAAAAAAACCAAACCCCCCCTAAATGATTTTAAACAAATACTCACACAGTTATGTTGTAGGTTATAAATGATTAGTACATTTTTAATTATTTTAAGTATAACATTCAATGCTTGGAATATGCTGTTTTATATATAAATGTCTTAGAGATATTATGATGTGTTTATATTGACATGTAAATGTGTATAATTATGTAAATAAGGGAGGTAAATCTACATTAATCTCTGTGACTGTGGAGTTGTCCCTCTTATAAACTATAATTGTACAATTTACTGTATATATATTGTTTTAATTGTATATGTATGTATAGATCAGACTATAATAATAAAAATGCGTGAATTATAATTAAAAAAAGTATTTCTCTTAATTATTGTTTTATTCAATATTTCAGACGATACAATGGATTCAAGATTAAAACTGGTTGTCGGTGCAACATTTCTGTCCATCTTTATTATCTATCTATACATGTACTTTACATTCGAAATTGAGGTAAGATTTACCATGGAGCTAAACATAAGATTGTTAATTTTGGTCTTCATCCTTGCCATACATAATAACCTAATCATTATGCAAAATTGCAAACTGAAAGCCCCGGCTAACAATTTATACTCGATTTTTCAAATGTCCTTGAGTTCTTGTGATAACTCTGAAGATGTCCTAGAGTTCTTTTCATAACTTGAGTCTTTCTTGCGCTAAAGCATGGTGCGTTTTAGTGGTTTTTTTTATTCAATAACAGTTATTAAACATTAAAATGTAGAACGCTCATCCTTTGCACAAAAATGGTCTTGAATGTCTGCAGAGGATAAACAGTTATTACATTGTATTAAGCTTCAAAAAATGAATCAGCAGTCATTGATATTCAGCAGTGTCATGGCTTAAACCGCAAACAAAAAATGTCTCAAAACTTACATGTTGTTCTTAGTACCACATGTTTTGAGCAACCACCTTTCTTAAACAATATATATTATTGTGTTCCCAATATCTTAGGGCTAAGTAATCAGTGTATTTCCTTCGCTAAATCACGACACGTTTAAGCGTTTTTTATTATCAAATAAGGTTGTAAATCATTACGAGATGTAGTAAGCTCATCATTTGCACACAAATGAAGATATTATTTCTTACCCCCGTTTCTTGTGCGATGTTTCATTTTATAGTATTTTTGCTGTCACAGAAAAGTTCTAGATGTATTTTGGCATGCGAAACATGAGACCCTTCCTAAAAGGTCAAGGTCTCAATTTGAAACCAAAGGTTAAAATAGTCTGGTACAGGGTATGATGCGAAGTCAGGCCCATGCAAATAAAATGTCGTTAGTGAATGCCAACATAGATTACCTTCATTGATGACTGGATACAAAATATACCGTGTAAAAGACCATATCCGGTATTTGTTTTGTATTTGTCAACGTTTTGTGGCTTTTAAATAGTGATGACAAGTATGCAAATGTATTCCTGTCGACAAATACACAGTTATTTCATTTTATTTCTTTAATGAATTTTAGTTACTGGCATGTGAAGCTATAGCATTGGTAAAAAATTTGCACCCATATCTAAATCTTTTGAAATAGCACAATTTTTGCTTCATGTAAGACTTCCCTTTGACGAAGAAACGTTGGTAACTCTGTTAAAATCATTTTGATACATACATGTGACATCAATTACTTAGTTTAATTAATTGATATTTTTATTTAAGTTATTGTTTCTGTGATCATGTTTGTACCCACTTATACATATATCATGCGCTATAGATCAATTAATGTTGAAATATTAATAATAGGAGATTTTTGTCATCTTGCAGAACCAGTGATGATGTGTGAAGAAAGTTGAATGTCTATATAGTATGTTCATAGAAAATCTTTTATGGGCACATGCTTAGGGCTTTATGTCATTCTGTACATTTGAGTAAAAGTGTAAAAGCAAGTTTGTTTGTTTATTGCAGCAGAATGTGGAGCCAGCTGTTAGAAGTTGTTCAAGTAATCTTCCTGTGTTTTTAGATGTAAAACATTCAGCAGAAAAAGATTCAAAAGAAAAGCTGATAGCACTAGCCAAAGCAATTCACAGTGCAAAGAAACATGTTCGTGGGTCAAAAACCTCCGATTTTCTCAAGAAAGCTATTTCTATTGTGAACAATATGCTTGGGGATATCAATGTGAATCCGAGAGAAGTGTATGAAAGACGCAGTGTAAGATCGGAACATATATGTGGAGAAGTATACATGGGCGGTGCATACGGGTATCCACAGTATTATACAGGCTTTGTCACAGACAAATGTTCTTATGGTGTACCTGTATCTCAACTTGTTACTGTTATAAAATATATAGCAAAACCAACTGGTAAAACAAGTTTACAAGTAACGCTTGATAGATTTATTTTTTCAATCAAAAGTGAAATGAATAATTCAAGAATACGAATTGCTATAAATATCAGTTCTGAAACGTTTTCGAGTGAGTTAAAAAGAAAATATCCAGGAGTTAAATTGATTTTCTCTAATTTCGAGTCTGAGGGGTCTGCACTTAACAGTTTGATAAAAGATGTACAAACTCCATATGTCTTAGTTACAAGAAAAATGAATAAACTCACAAACGATTCAATGTTAGAAAGACTAGTTAGAGAAATAGAAAGCATAAATGTAACAGCGGTGGGTGGTGCGTTACGTGAATCAAATGGTCATTGGAGAAAAGGCTGTTTCCAGTCGGTGCATAGAAATTACACTTTGAAGTATATGGAGGGTTATGATGAGTCATATCATGAATGTTTGTTTTGTGATTATATTCAAGGTCCATTTATAACGACTGCTAAATACTTGAAGGAAAACAGTTTTAAACATATTGACGAGAATAACGGTCTATACGAAGATTGGTTTCTAAGAATAACCCAGTCAGGCCGGGAATCAATTGTATGTCCAGATTCTATGTTCCATGTTGATAACCTGACTACTGTATCTGGTTCGAACTGGAAAGCATTTTCTGAATATTGGAATGTTTATCATGCCTTTTTGCCAATGGGGAATGAAATGAAAATCAACTGTGAAGAAGTAAAAATATCAAGTAGCCCTTCGAAGGCTTTATCACCGTGTGCCATGAAGGTATACAGTGATGGTATTAAATTAATTATGCGAAAATGTGAGGAAACTGGCACCATATGTGAGTTGCAGGAAGGTACCGGGTTAGGGGCTGTCAAGTTAGGAAAAAATCTCCCTTGGGACATAGACTATGATTTGCGATTTTCAGTAACAAACTGTTCAAAATGTAAACTGTTTTATGAAGCACTAAAAAAAGCTGGTTTAAAAGTGAATGACTTTGCTCCGAAGTGCTGTAATCAAAAATATAAGTTAGGTGAGAAAGCCCTCTTTAGCATTTTTTACAAAGGTAAAAGAGGCGATTTCACTGGCCATCCCGTAATGGACAGTGACATGCTTGTTAGAAACGGTTTAGTCCCTACCAAAGTTTTGTTTGACGGTCAATGGTTAAACGTCGCAAGAAACCCAGGGCTGTTCATGAGGAATAGATATGGCAAAGAAATGTATAGACACGCGGAACATTGGAGATATACGGGTGAGAAAAGCCAAAGACCTAACTACACAACAAACGTGTTTATAACATGTAAACAACCAGGAGCCCACGATTGTTTGGACAGATACAACGCAGACGGAGATTTCCCGTTTAATGTGATGTTACCATAATATTTTTTTTCCATATATAATGATACCAAATATAAGCATGCAGTTTTTATGGTTAAAGCGGTATACCTGTATATGTGATACGATATTTCAAGAAATTCAAACTCAAGATAACTTTACAAGAGTTAAAGAAAAATAAAAAGATTCAAGATTCAAGTAATGATTTGCATGTTGTAGTACTGATATTAGTAATACCCACAGTCTAATATGCAAGAAAAAATACAACTTACGTTGTTATTTGCGTTTTGCTACTTTCGTGACAAATTACTTTTAATTCATGGCTTTCAGCGTATGTTAAGCATGTAACATGTTAAGTGCTCTAAATTCCTTCAGATGAAATAAAGGTTTGCCATTTCTACAAAGAAGATATTGTATTCATACCTGATGTGTAAAGTGTCTTTAAGCCAATTGTTAATGATTTCACTCCTACTGTATACAGACAGACAAGAACATTGGCAGTATAAATGGCGTTGTCTACCTCGAACTGAATGCAAGTAAACGTGACCTAAAAATATGTATTGTAAAGGGAAATTATTGTAGCTCTGTACAGTGAATGGGCACGTCCGAAAATAAAAATCAACAAAATATCAAATGAAGAACCTTTTTGACTTACAAAACCCCCATACTTCACTTGCATACAGTAAAATAGAACCAATAAAAGAGTCAAACAACTATAAGACTATGTTGGGTTAAGTTTCATATTTTGTCAAAATTACCACTAAATTATTTAGGGCTTTGAAACCTTTACTGTATAAAGTTTGAGTACATTGTAAATCCACGGGTTTTCGTATAATAAATGGTAGAAAAGGTGATTTTTACGGTAAATGCACGTGTATTTCTAGCCAGGGGATCGAATCTTATCGGTAAATTACCAGTATTAAATGATTTATGTCATAATGTAGATTTAACTAATCGTTCTGCGATAGACTCTTTAACAATGTGATTTTGTAAGAATTATAGTAAACATGTATATAATCAGCCTAAATTTATTGATAAATGTATTGTTAAGGATAAGGAGTGGTTTGATTATGATTGTTCACAAGCTAAAAAGTTGTATATAAACGCATTATGTAATTTTAAAGTAGATAATAGTGTTTTAAATAGGGAGCAGTTGTATTTTTATAAACTAAATATAAGAATTTGGTTAAGAAAAAGAGACGTTTTCTAAATTGAAAAAAAAAGTTGACAAAATTGAGAGCTTACGATTGTCTAAGCCGAAAGACGTTTGGAAATTATTTAAATGTAATAATAAGGTAAATCACGACAGTTCATTTGATGAATTTTTAAGTATTTCTCAGAATAAGGTAATGATATATTACCGGGGTCGGTGGCAACAAACTGCGCACATACAGGCAGTTTAAGACAACCTTTGAAACTGAGGAATATTGCAAAATCATACTACCGCGTTGCCACAGGTCCACTTTTGCTAAGTTTAGATGTGGAACTGCACCACTAAGAATAGAGACAGGTAGATATGAACGTCAATCAGTAAATGAAAGGCTTTGTCTTTTTTTGTAAGTTAATTTCATGCTGTAATGGAATGTTTTATATATGACGATATTCGTGTATTCGTCAAAAACCCACACTTTCACACAATGACAACTATGGAGAAGTTTACTTTTATATTCTCAAATACGAGTTGTGTACGGTATATTGCCAAAACCTGCTTTGGCATATTTAAGAGAAGGGTAACTTTCCTTTACAAATAAGAACATACGAATTGCTCTCTTTTTCCTTTTTCTGATGATTCTTTTTATATGTTTTTTTTTATTTTAATTTTAAAATATGAACATTGTATATAAAATTATAATAGGTAAATGTTTTTTTTAACCACACTAAGACTGTGGTCTCACATCGTTATCAATTTTTCAAAAAGTGAATATTATTTTATAGTTAACATAATCCTTGATAAATTTAATTGGACAGTATAAAACTTTATAATAAAACAGTTCAAGAAATTTTATTTGACAGTATATGGTTTTATAAATGTCATTAATTGACTTATATAAGTTTTAATTAATGGCCATATTTATTACATATTGGACAAATATATGTTGCTTCTGTATAAAACATCCATTGATTAAGCCAATACATTGTATGGATAAAACAGATCTTCATGTAAATTATGTTGAAGAAAACAAATCGTTGACATACTGAAGTTAGTTATATTTTGATATTGTAAAGTATCAAGTGTAATAAATGACATACTTTCCAAGGTTAAATAATTTATAATGGTCAATTTTTCTTTCTACCATTTGCATTAAAACATTTCAGTAACGTTTTATTCATTGTACCACAATGTTACCTTCTGTAGAAAAACATGCAATAGTTTGAATATATTGAGGTCATGTTTTCAAAATACAACATAACATAATTTAATGAATGATAATGTATATATGAAATTTGTGGTGCATAAAACAGTAAACTGCTGTGATATGGTCTGTGGAGTTGTCTCCCTTAGAGGCAAAATAAATAGTCTCTTGTAATGTTTTTCGAATGGTTTTTCATTATATGTAATTTTATGTATACATGTAAAGTTGAGACTGAAATAAAAAAAATGAAATACATTCCCATATAAGTAGCACGGAGTCCAAAGAATTTTCACGCAACAATGATTTTGAAAATGGATTGGATGATATCTTAGATAAACGTATTAATGCGGATGAAATTTTGGATGCAATCAAAACTTTAAAAACAAATAAATCACCTGGTTTTGATTACCTGTTAAATGAATATTTTATTGAATGTATTGATATTTTATCCTCGCATATTTGTCATATTTTTAATTATATACTTGATTGCGGGTATTTCCCAGATATATGGTCTTAAGGTGTGATAATTCCGTTGTATAAAGAAGATGACAAAAATGATGCTAATAATGAATGAGGAATTATGTTAGTTAGTTGTCTATCGAATTCACATCTATTTTAAACAGAAGAATAATACTTTATTGTGAAGAAAACCATATTTTGTCAGATACAAAATTTGAATTTAGAAAAGGAAAATCAACCATTGATGCTTTATTTATTATCCCCGCCGAAAAGGCGGCGGGGGATGTAGTTATAGTGCGTCTACTGTCAGAGTTCGTGCGTCCACTGCCAAAGTAACGCCCGTCCTGAACAGTTTTTTTATGTATACCGAGATAGCGCTATCTTCAATAATAGTGTTATAAGGTAATCAACGTGAAACTTCATAGTGTTTGTGATTATAGACCCAAAGAGAGGTATGGAATGCAGTGCCAAAACAAATAATAATGGATTTTATAAACTCTACCCTGCAAATAAGTATTTTGAAGTTAATTTGCCACTATGTCATTTTCTCTGCCGTCCAGAGCATAACTCATAAAAGGCTTTGAGAGATCAAATAAAAACCTCATAGGAGCATAGATTATCTATACTCAGGAGGTATGTAAGTACAACAAGATATGCATGACCACACGACTACCTTTCAATAATTTTTGAGTCATTGCACCTTAATGGTTATTGTTTTCAAAAACATTTTATAATTCTTATCAACTCTGAGTGGACAGAAATAAAATCTCAAAATGTTCTGACAGATATCACAACAATGAAATGTCATAGGTTGGATAAGAATATATATATTGGGATTTGGAATTCGGGAATGGCGCAACGCAATAGATTACTCGCTCGCTATATTAGTTGAGCTTAATTTGCCTGTCTGGTTTATTGTTCATAACTCTATTGTTGTTCTGGAATAGTAATATGTGAGGTGAATCAACTTGCAACTTCCAAGTAGGTGGCACTACGAGTTTTATAAACTGAGAGGGCAAAGGGGTGGTAAGCACATCAATAAATGTAATAAATCCTCCACCACCTCGCTTAGTTTCAGTCTCATGCGCCGTTTTGATATTTTCAGCCATCAGTATTCACATAGGTTTCAAATATGTAATCCCTTCATTGCTAAAAGACCTCGTAAAATAGATTTTTTCTGCTCTACATATATATTCTTCCGATGAGATGGGGGATTGGGCCATTGCCGGGATCGGGGATGGCCATAGTTGACATGGGCTGCTTGTTCTAATGACAGTTCGCTTCCCAAAATTAATAAATACCAATAATAAATCGTTATTTTTGTATTGTGTTCATTGTATTACTTTAGGAAAGCTTTTCGATTGTAATTATATAGAAACCGCCTTTTGGTTAAAAAATTAAGTAATGGTGTGGATTGAGGACGGGTATATATGATTTATTATTTTTTTCTTTTTTTTGACGTCAATCGTAAGTAAAAGCACCAAATTAATTATATGTAAAGTAGAAGTAAATCGGGTAGTTGTAAAGGTTTATGTATATTAGTTTAGATATAACCAGATTAGTGTGTTAATGTATGCAGCTAGGTCTAAACCAGTCAAGGAGAAGGTAATTTTAGTCTGATCTATTAATCTCCCTCTTTTTAGATGAATAGAATTCATTTTTATAATGGGATGTATATAGTGGTTTGACTATAAACGATATTGTTTTGTTTTTGTTACTGTTTCGCTGATGGTCAATATGGTCATATGGTCATTTTTAGGAGATACACCAGATGATACAAATAGAAGTTTTACGTTATTAAATGATTATTGGTAAAATATGGAGCTTAGAAGTAAATATCGATAAACCAAAGTTGTTGTTGACATATAAGACAGAAAACGCGGAGGTTTAAAAACAATGAATTTATTTTATAACGAAGGGAAACATTTAAATATTGTCAATAGCTTCAATTGCTTAGGAACAATATTTACTTATACGAGTAGTTTTAGTTTAAATCAAGAACATTTGATTGGTAAAGCTCATATAAAGCTCTAAATGTACTATACTGATTTATGGTAATAGATAACAGTGAAAAAACCTAAAGTTTTATGTTAGCTTTTTGACTCTTTTGTTGGTTTAATTTTAAATTACGCTGCTGAAATCTGGGGTTTTACTATATCAAAGGAAATTGAAAGACTCCATCTTAAATTTTGTAAACAGATATTAAATGTAAGTTAATTCATATTATGTTGCTGTGTATGGTGAACAAGTACGTTATCTTTTATATATTTCAAGATATGTTAAGACTTTAAGATTTTGGTCTAAAATGCTTCAGACAAAGAATATTATTCTTAAAAATGTATGTAACAGTGCTCTTGAAGAGTGTAATAATGGTAAGAAAAATTGGTTATCTAATCTTAAATTGTTATTATGTAATTACATGGTTTTAGTGGTATTTGGGATTTTCTGGATTCTGTAAATAGTAAAAAATATTTTTACCATATTTAAGCAAAGGGTAATTGATTGGTTTTGTGGGTTTTTTTTTTTTTTTTTTTGGTAAAGAGAGCAGCCCTGTTTTGTATCTGTATAATCATGTTAAAGATTCCTTTGTATATGAAAATTATCTTGATATAATACCAAGTACTTTAAGGAAGTATCTTACACAGAATTAGAATATCTTCGCATTCATTTCATGTGC